TGCCCCCCCGGCTCGTTTCCGTGCCCTCCCCAGGGCCTGGGGTGCAGGCAGGAGGGGGTGAATCTACCCCCTCCTACCTGCCAACCCTCCAAGGGTGTTCTTCCTCCTCCCCAACCCCTCTCCCCAGCCAAGCCGGGAAGAAGATGGTCTGGGGTATCCTGAGGTGCTGGCGGAGGGCTGGTGACTGCGTGCCGGCAGGGGGAGCTGTGGGCTGGCGGCCCTGGGCCCTGCCTGGCCACCCTCTCCTGGCAGGCCCCAGGCTGCCTGTGCTCTGTGCCCCTTCTAGGATCACTTCATCCCTCTGGGCACCAACGAGGCAGCTGCCTGCACTGATTGCTTGCCTGAGGTCTGCCACTACCGCAGCCTCTCTGGCATCGCGCCAAGCCTTCCATCGCCATGCTTCTCTCCTGGGCCAAGTGCCCAGCCGTGCGCCCAGAGGCCACTGCAGGACCCTTTCGCTGCTACTTTCTCAGGGCGCCCTGCAGCAGGGGGACCTTGTCCCCCACCTCACTTCACACTCTCCTTCTGCACAGACAACCTCTGGAGTGACCAGAGCCTGGGGACAGACCCTGACCTTCCCCCAGGCTGGAGGAAAATCCATGACTCTATGGGGACCTATTACTGGCATGTGCCAACTGGCACGACGCAGTGGCAGCACCCCACATGCACCACCAGCCCAGGAGGGCACCTGGAGCCTGATGGAGAGGAGATACTCCAGGGAATGGTAGGGAATGTGGGCAGGGGTTGAGGGCTGGTGTTGGATCTCACCCCCTGGCAGAAGCCTGCTGACGGGCCCTCTGAGCATCACTGGTCCAGCCTCACCTTGGAGCAGGCCTGTCTCTGTCACCTCAAAGTCCTGTTCAGCCCATTCCTGGCCAGGGTTAAGCCCCTTGAAAGGCTCCAGCAAGCCTTGTGTTGGCCTCATCCTGGCTATATGGAATGCCCACGGGCTGAGGTGCTTCTTCCTGGAAGGGAGGTCTCCTACCTGGTGCCTCCTGACAGCCATGTTTGGCTGCCCTCACTGCTTTCCTCTTGTCTCCCAGGACCACCAGGCCCCCACGGCAAAGCACTCGGCAAAGGACAGGCCCATTCCCAGCCCCATGGCTTCGCTGTCCCGGAGGTAGGGCTGCCCATGTGCTCTGCTGGCTTGTAGGGCACCATGCAGTCTTGACCACCTTTGGGGTGCTGGGCCCCCAGCCAGAACCGCCCCACACATTGGAGCCAGCAGGACCACACTGGTTACCTCTATGGGATGCCTCCCAACTGGTGGCAAGGGGGGGGTCTGCTAGTGCCAGGGCATCCTGGCGCATCCCTGGGTACCCCAGGTCCATGATGCTGAGTGGGATCCATCCCCTCACCGCCCCATCACTCCACAGAACCTCGCTGCACTGGCATGGAGATGACTTCCAGCACAGCGCAGAGCCCGGTTCCAAGGTACCACACATAGGGGTTTCACAGTGGCATTGTGGGCTGGGCTGGCAGAGGAGGGGGAGGCAGCATCTGACATGGACTGCGATAGGAGCAAGAGCAGGGGTAGCCACGCTGGTACAGCGAGGGGCGTGGGTGGGGGGAGTGGCTGTGCTGGCTGAAGTCCCATGTGTCTCTGCTCAGTGCTTTGCTGTGCGCTCACTGGGCTGGGTAGAGATCCCCGAGGAGGACCTGGCACCTGGCAAGAGCAGCATTGCCGTCAACAACTGCATCCAGCAGCTCTCCAACAGCAAGGGCCAGGGCTCTGCAGAGAACCGGGGCGAGGTGAGAGCCTGAGATTGTGCTGCTAGGCAGGGTCCCACCCCGGGGCCACTGTTGCTGAGGCTGGCTGCCCCCACCAATGGGGACTGTGCCTAGCAGTGGCCAGGGACCACTGCCCATGGCACAGTCAGCTCTCTCCACATAAGGCATCCATGCAGTGGTCACAAGTGTGGGGCAGGTGGGTCTGACTGGGCTGTCCCTTGGGGCAGTGCTGGGGTGCCTGGATGGGTTGTCCTCAGGCATGGGAATGGTAGCTGGCGAGGCCTGTGGGGGGACATGGGGCTGTCCCCACACTTGGGGCTGAGTAGGCTGGAGGGATGGGGGTGTCCCTATACATGGGCTGGGTGCTGGGGATGCCCAGACCATCTGCCAAGCTGAGGGAGCCTTTGACACTCTGCAGGGCCAGGACCTGGTGATGATCCTGAAGAAGGACACCATGAGTCTGGTGGACCCCCTCGACCACAGCCTCATCCACTGCCAGCCCATCCTTAACATCCGCGTCTGGGGCGTTGGCTGCAACAACGGCAGGGGGGGGGGGCCAGCGCAGAGCCAAAGGCTGGGGGGTGGCTCTGTCTGCTGTGGAGGAAAGGCACCCCAGCAGTAACTTGTCCCCTCTCCTCTGTCCTCGACTGCCACTGTGGCTGGTGGGACAGGTAAGGGGGCCTGGAGCTGGGGGAAGTGTGGCGAGGGGGGGACTTCTTCTGCTGGGGTCTCACTGGCTTACTCGTGCCCTTGCAGAGACTTTGCCTTTGTGGCCAGTGACAAGGACACCTGTGTCCTCAAGTGTCACGTCTTCCACTGCAACGTGCCCGCCAAGGGTATCGCCAAAGCCCTGCATGAGATGTGCTCCAAGGTGAGATGCAGGGGCCCTGGCAAGTACGGGCATGGCTCAGGGTTCTCAGGGATGAGGGGAGGCACTGGGACCCCAGCTCTTGCAGATCATGGCTGAGCAAGCTGTAGCAAGCAGTGGGCTGCCATGCACTGCCACATTGGAGCCTGCGTCCACCGAGGACCTGCCGCTGCAAGGTACTGTCCCCCTAGCACTGCCGGCTGCTCCTCCTGCCCAGTCCACCCTTGGGCAGCAGGATGCCCAGCAGCCAGAGACCTTTGGCCTGCCTGGCTGTGTCCCCTGGGACCTTGGGGATGAGGGGGTACAACAAGGGGACACGGGCGGATTGCCCTCACCTCTCCTGTCCTGGCAGTGGATATACTGGAAGCGGTGAGGCAGTCGATGCAGACCTATGAGGCGTTGTACATAGGCAGCCTGCCCGTGCCCAGGGCTATGGGTAAGCGCCGCTGGCCCCGCCGCAGCTGGGGGGGCCTGTGAACCCCCCGCTGGGGGGCAGCCGAGCAGCC